AAACAGCAGAAACAATAGACAGTGGAAACAGACTCACAGAGGTTCAGTTATTAGTATGATCAGATATGACTTTAAAATTCCTGTGTTTGTTATATATAAGAAGAAAAAAGACAAGATGGAGAATTTTGCAGAGGACTTGAAACTGCAAAATAGAAAAAAATTGTGAATTCTAACATGTAAGATATAATCAAAATAAGAAATCATCAATGGATGGGTCTAATAGTGGATTAAACACAACTGAAGGGAGAATTAGTGATTTAGAAGGAGGTCCAAAGAAAACACCCAAAATGAAGCATGGAGAGACAAAGGATGGTGAACACAAAAGAGAAGATAAAAACCATAGCGGATATAGTACTAATATATGTGTACTTGGGTTCCAGTAGGAAAGAAGAGAGAAAGGAGCAGAAGACATATTTGAAGAGAAAATGGCTGAGAAATTTCAAAAGCTGATGAAAGACATCAAGACACAGATTCAAATCTCTTCAAACCCCAAGCCCAAAAATTGAAAACAAAAACAAAACAACAGTATCAAGATAAAACACCTAATGTGCTGTTTGAAGAAAACCAAAGTCAAAAAGAAAAATTTTAAAGCAACCAGATTAAAAAGATAAACGTTCTTGTAATAAGTAACAAGTAGACTTAACAGCTGAACTCCTAACAGAAGCTGTGGAAGACTCCTAAATTGCAATTTAGTAGTGAGAATGAAATAAAAACATTTTCAGACAATGACTGAGACTGTTTATTAGCAGACGAGCATCACTTAAAGCACTATTAACCTGTAATAAGAAAATCGAACCCAGAAGGAAGGTAGGGGTGACAAGTAACAATAGTAAGGAAAGAAATGCCTAAACATGTTGGTAAATCTAAATGAGATTTGATGATTAAAAACAAATCACTACAACTACTACTAATTAATTACAGGAACTTTAAATGTAACAGTGTCCAAAATACAGTCTTTATCCTATTTGTGGGGAGAACACAGATATGAACTTTATAAAGTATTAAATCAGATACACGTGTTAAAAAATTCTAAGAGTAAGTAGTTAAACTACTACTGACTACTAAACCACTAAACTACCAACTTTCAAACCATTAGAAGGAAAAAAAGGAATAGGGAAAATTTAAGCACTCCAACAAGAAGTTGGAAAAGTAGAAAAATGAAAAAATATAAACACAGAACAGAAAATGTAATGTTAGAATTAAGCCTAAATGTATCAGTAATAAGAAAACAAGGTAAAAAGATTAAAAACCTCGGTAAAAAAACATAGACTTTCAGATTAGACTCTCAAACCCAGCCATATTCTGTGTTTTAAGAAATGCCATTAAAACATAATGGCAGAATGTTTTATAGTAAAGAAATGCAGGGGCCGGCCCTGTGGCTTGGTGGTTAAGTGCGCGCGCTGCGATGCTGGTGGCCCGGGTTCGGATCCCGGGTGCGCATCGAGGCACCACTTCTCCGTTCATCCTGAGGCCGAGTCCCACATACAGCAACTAGAAGGATGTGCAGCTACGACACACAACTATCCACTGGGGCTTTGGGGGGAAAAATAAAATAAATAAAATCTTTAAAAAAAAAAAAAAAAAGAAATGCAAAATTTTCTACCTGGAAACTACTAGGAAAAAGAAAACTGGGGCCAGTTCCAGTGGCCTAGTGGCTAAGTTCAGCGTGCTCCACTTCAGAGGCCCATGTTCGGTTCCCAGGTGTGGACCTGCACATGTCTGTTAGCGACCATACTGTGCTGGCAGCCCACATACAAAAAAACAGAGGAAGATTGGCACGGATGTTAGCTCAGGGTGAATCTTCCTCAGGAAAAAAAGCAAAAGCAAAAGAAAAAGAAAGCTGTTGCAGCAATAAACAGCCATTCAACTCACATATGTTGAACACTGTTGAGTTGGACCAGACCTTATTCTGGCTCTAGGGAGGTGGAAGGAGAGCTCCATTTGGGGCATGAGCGGCTGCCCAGAGCTCTGCAGACTTCTGTGGTCACGTGATCCAGAAGAGAGGAGCTGCCTGTTGAATTCTCTGGCGGCAAGCACAGAGCCCCACGCTGGGCCACAAGCAGAGCCAAGCCGCTGGACAGACTGGTACAGCTAGTCTCCCTCATCACTGACGCTGGGTCCTTCAGCTCTGCTCTGCCCTCCTGGAGGTCCTACTCTAGGCTCAAGGTGGAGGCTTACAGAGAAGCAGCATCTTGGAGGAACAAGCCACACCTCCTGGAGGGATCACGTGAGGAAATTTGAATTCAGGCCTTGGGTTCCTGCGAGTGGGAATCCGTGCTCTAAGTGGAATCTGGACTTCTTTCACTCAAGCCTGAATCTTCAGTAAATTTCTTAGCCTCGTGGCATGTTGTCAGGGCAGGAGCATGAGTGAGGAATCATGAGAACTAACTAATGTGGCCTGAGGCAAAATATGTGGCAAATATGAGGCGGCAGGACTAATTAATTCCCAGAGTCCCTTCTGGATAAGTTGGTGGCATAGTGACACTGATGAAGGTGGGAAAGTTTGGAAGATTGCAATGATTAATTTGTGGCCTTGAACAAGTCATCTAACCTGTCTAAGTCCTAGTCTGCTGTTCTCTAAATCAAGAGAGAAAATCACCCTTACTTCGAAGAGTGATGTGGAGAATAAATTGAATATACAGAAAAAGGACTTTGTCTGACACATTGTCAGTAGGGCACTACATACAGATTTTGGAAGCTGTTTTTCAAGTCTACAGACCATAAAGCATAACAATTGCACTCAAAAACTTTTACCCATTTTCATTGATCTAAATCATTTGTTCCCAACTATTAGGTTTAGATTACTCACAAAAGCTTCATGTGACATTAAAGCAGTTAGACACCATCTTAAGTTGTTTTCAGTACGTACACCACAACACACAGTTATTGTTAAAAGTTCCCCCCAAAACTTTCATCATTTTAATTTACTCTTCTCAACAATTATAGTTAGATTTCCTACAACAACCTCACGAGACAATAAATAAAATCAGATGTTATTCTCAGTTATTATTTTTTGCTGACGAATTTTGAAACACAGATAACATGTTTGTATCATATCCAATGTTGACAAATCTACAAACATGTTTATTTCAATTAAACCAACAAACTTAAACAAGTTCTTATTTACCCAAGATCATTTTACACCATGTTAACTTGAAAGAGCTCTGGGCTACTTTCTATTACATTTAGAAATAATTTATATAAGTGCTTACTTCAAGCCAGTTAAACAGAGCTCCTTTAGAAATTATACCATCCAGAGGCAAGCAAATACATAGAGATATTTACATAAATAAACATATAGATAGACACAAACAGAGATCTTCAAAAGTTTAGCCATGTCTCAGATACAAAACTCAAAAGAACAGTAGGATCCAAACTGTTCCTCTGGCAGAATCTATTCAGATGGCCAAAGGTTTTTACTAAAGATTCTTTTCTTTTCGCTGTTAGGATCCTTTTTAGAGCCATTTTTGAAGTCATTTTGTCTTTTAGCAGCTTCTACATATTAATCAAAGAATGCATTCTATTCTGAGAGGTTTTGAATTCTCTTTCTTAATGGGGACCCTTAAAGTGAACTTATCTGAAACAGAGGTTCCCCAGAGTGGCTGTTTTAAACTGAGATCTCCTTGGGTGTGTTTAACTAACATTGCCTGAAGGGTGGATTTATATGCTTTTACCATACCAGGAAGGGGAAACGTTCCCCAGTGAGACACAATGTTTATCCCCACAACATAATCTATAATACAATCAGGCAAAACAGATGCAATCATTTCACATTAAGCCCATTTAAATATATCAAATTGTTTTACAAAGTTTTATCTCAATTTTATCAACTCTCATACCTCTAATCATAGCTTCCATTAAGACTCCATTAATGGGCTGGCCTGGTGGCATAGTGGTTAAGTTTGGCATGCTCCACTTCGGTGGCCCAGGTTCACGGGTTTGGATCCTGGGCGTGGACCTAAACCACTCATCAAGCCATGATGGGGCAGCGACTCACAGACAAAATAGAGGAAAGACTGGCATAGATGTTAGCTCAGCAACAATCTTCCTCAAGCAAGAAGAGGAAGATTGGCAACAGATGTTAGCTCAGGGCCAATCTCCCTTGCAAAAAAAAAAAACAGAGAGACTCCATTAACAAGTCTAGGTCTTATAATGCTGTGTAGGGGAAGCATTCCCAGCTAGACATAGCATACATTCCCAAAAAACACTCAGGCAAAGTTGACATAACCTCTTTATATAATAGGAGCTCAAACATTTTAATCTTTATAATCTTATCGACCTCAGAGGCCTGACTGTTGCCCCAAATGATTGTTGGTCAGGTTTCTCATTGTGACCTCCACCTTCTGGCTTCTTTTCCCAAATTGGAGTAAACAGAATGGGCTTGTTTGAGGGCCTTTAATGTTGGGGGCCAGTAGGGGGTCCCTTTGGCCTGCCCAATCCTAGGCACTGTCCTATCAAAACCTTTTTTTTAACCCCATTAATGTCCATTTTATTCAGTAGATTTTTCTTTTTCATAGGTTCATAACTGAAAACATTCCAATTTAGCAATATGTAACCTAGAGGGCTGCCACTGGAAACCTAATCTGAGTTTCCCATTGTGGCACTGTACACACACACACGTATCACAACAACTGGGGCCAAAGAGTTCCTCTGTGAGTGAAAAGTCTTTAGTCCTTTCAATAAATTTGCCCCCCACCCCCCGGCCGAACAAACTGCAGTAACCTGGAACAAAACCCCTGAAACAGAGGCAAACAAATGAAAGGAAAAATAAGATTTCAGTCGGTTAACAAGGAAACTCAACAAAAGGATGTCCACGGCAAACCAAAAGAAAGGGAGCCCAGAGGGCTGCCAGGTGTCATAGAGCTCTGATTACCCGCTATTTCTGGCCGGTCATGTTGGAAAACGTTAGCACAGAGACAAAAGCAAAAACTGCCAGCCACTCAAGAGACGTCTTCTCAAGTCCCAAGCCTAGTTTCTTCTACCACAAAAGCAAAAGCACCATGGGCCAACGACATCTGGTCAGCAGCCAGTCGCTTGGGGCTGTCCCTGAGACGAGCGAGCGGCTCAGGCAGCTGCAGGACAGCTTCCAAGAGAGGCTCTCAGCCCGAGACCGGTGTGCCACAGGCGAGATGGCCACTTGGGACTAGGTCCCATCTGGGTCACCAAATTTGATATCGAACTTGAAGTGAGTTCACTCACCTGTCGTCCGCAAGCCAATATCTGAGACCAGGTGTAGCCCAAGAAAGTAGGAATTTTATTGCAAAGCGCTGAGCGAGGAGGACGGGCAGCTAGTGCCGTAATCCCAAGCTCCCTGGAAAGCTACATGCAAGGGGTTTTATTTGGGGCTTTAGGTAGGGGAGGGGGAGCACATGGCCTTGGGGGCTAAAGTTCAAAGAGTCCTCCGCACAGGCATGACTGCCTGTTCTGCATGTTGCACGTGGTGGATGTTTAGTCTTTGACGTCTAGGGTTCACAATCAGTCATTTTAGCTTCTCAACATTCGTGCAAGGTGCTTAGTCAGGCAGGGGGCTGTCAGCAAGTGGCTGTCTTATCAGTGGTCTTCCTGCTGTTCTGCATGGCAAGCTCAGAAACTTTGGTTCTTTTGTTTCCCATGTTAGCCTTGTGGGTACAAGGCACAGTTTCACCCTAAACCAGGGAAATTTTAAGTCCTTCATCCTCAGTTTCAGCTGCAGTCAGCTCTCTGCACCACTGTGCCTCACCATGGGAGAGTGGACGCAGGAGGGAGGAGAGGGACAGTCTCCTGGTCAGAGGGAGCAGCCTTTGAGAAGGCTCAGAGGCAAATTGGGCCTGAGAGGGCTCCAGAGCAGACACTGGGTGACCAGGGCTGGAGAGAGGAGTTTCAAACAGAGACACAAGAGAGGTCTGGGGGAAAGATATAGCTCATCCTGGTCTATTCTCATTTTGTGCACTCCTATCCTCTCTCCAAATGTTTGGGTACCTCCTTGAGGGCAGGGAACAGTCCCAAGTCCCTTTATTATAGAATCATTATATATCATCTTCCCCCACCTGCCCTCCTCACCCCTGCTTCAACAGTTGCCATGATCTCTTGTTGCCATGTTTAGGTTCAAACTGGGCCCTCGGAACTGAGCTATGTCAGCGATGACATCACATAGAACTTACTGGAAGACTTGGAGCTCACTCAGATCCCAACTGCTCTCAGAGAGGTTGTGGATCCGAGATCTTCCTGTGGGACAGTGCCTAAAGCTGCTGAGTCACAGAAATTCGGGACTAAATCGGAGTCTTCAATCCAAGAGAGGTTGAGACACCACCTAAGATCAGGAGGAGGGAGAGAAATCCCTCCGGAGACCATCCTTTTAGTTGGCCTTCGCCCTAACAGGATGAATCAACGGCCATCCGGGAGGAAGAGGCCTTTCTCTAAGACTGCAGGTAAGCAGGGAGGAAAATGGTCTGATGGAGGGGCATTGGGCAGCCAGGGCCCTGATTTCCCTGGACAGATGGCCAGGAGAGTGAAGATGAAGGATTTGGCCTGAGGGCTGAGGCTCATTGAGGCTTTCACGGAGAAGGTACTGTCACTCAGTAGACAGCGCACACAGTGTGTAACGAGAATGAATAAACGAAGAAATGAGGGAGTGAACCTCAGAATCCCCTACTGTGAGCCTGAGGGTCTTTCCTCAACTGGCTCAGACTAGAAACTCGAATGGTCAGGCCTAATCCCTAGGAAGGGCTTTATGTCCAAGCGAAGGGAGGAAGCAAGCGAGCACCTGGGGTGGAGGCTGCAGGACTGGGGAGAAGGGGTGAGCAGACTTGTCTTTCGTTGTTATCCCATTTTCTACTGAGAGTGAGTTAATACAGCATGTGAGGCAGCAAGAACACGAATCAAGAAGTTATGGGAGGCGGGTGAGTGGTTGGCCCAGTACTCCATGGTGACCCCAGAGGTCTCCCTCATTATGAGATCCAGGTGCCAGCCTGGGTTGGGGCAGAAGGAAGTCTGGGCAGACAGCACTACCCTCAGGCCAGGCCCTTCCCTTCTCCTCCTCTGTCTCCCGTCCACCTCTCCCTCGGGCGCTACGATGTGGCAGAGCAAAGCTTCACTTCAGAATTGCATTTTAAATCTCTCCTTAACCTGTGTTTCTGCTATAAATCCTGTCAATCCTAGCTCAGAACCCTTTCCGCAGCCAGTTCCTTTTCCCACTTCCCCCTCTCCAACTTCCTTACAACTCCGACGAGCTGCCCTCCACAGTCCAGCTTTGCTTCCTGTTCCCTCCGTGTCTTCTGTCTGCAGATTCTGTCCACTGTCCCCTGAGGTCGTCTCTATCTCTGTCCTACCTAATGCTTCCCTCTCTCCCCGCTCCCCCTACATACCCAAAACTTGCTTCCATCTCTTCCTTTCTGCATCCTGAACTCTCCAAACTGCCCTCATCCTCAGAAACAGGCACAGACCCCGATGCTGACCCACAACCCCGCAGATGCACTCAGTGAGATTTCCATGTATTGACCATGGAGGTTAGGGACCAGGGTGCTCAGACACGGACATCTCTTTTCTGCCTTCACACTGAAGGAGCTCATCTCACAAGTCCATGCTAAGGAGTCTTTTCAGAGAAAGCCTTTTTCAAGTTCCAGTGTTGCTTGGTTCAGAAGGATGCAAGGAAGAAGTAAACTTGCAAGAGCTTTAACAAAGTAGATAAATTATGATGTCTGTCAGTGGAATTCCTTCTTACCAGTGCCCCTCTGAAAAGAGGCAGACATTTCTCCCTCCGAATGTTCTAGAAAATCACTTCATAGAGTACCTCTCTCAGAGAAGTTAACATACTACTATGAAGGTTGAGGGGAAATAAGTCATACCCATGTGCCAAAGGACCAAATTCAATTGGCATTCAACAAACAAATGTTGAAAAGAAATTAACCCGAAGATCCTACCATCACAAACAGAAGATCCCAAAGGGTATTGTACTGTCTCCCATGAGTGACCTTTGACACGGGGTACCACCGTCATTACTACCATCGTGCTCAGGAGACTGTGTCACCCCCAGCAGTGCAACCAACACTTGAAGGCACAGGACAGGGGCTGCCCCCCTTGGGCAAGCAAGATGAAGATGTGATGAGGTTTCCCGGAGGTGGAGGAGGGTAGGGATTGAGAGGGCCCCAGCGATCCTTGACCCCAGAGCCTGGGCTCAGAGACCAGGACCAAGGACCCAGAGCTCATGTACTTCACACTCTGTTCTCAGAGGCCTCAACCCAAGAGGACAGAGCCACACAGCCTGCAGCATCGGAAAAGAGAAGCCCGAGCTCCAGGCCCAGGAAGACTCTCCGACTGTCAGAGCGGTCTCCCTCCTCTGCTTCCTCGGAGCGGACCTCCCACTCCTCCAGCTACGGGCGGCCCAAAGAGAAGCCATGGGTGCGGTGCGCCTACTACACCCAAGTGCGCACCGTGAAGGGGGTGGCCGTGGCGTGGCAAACCGAAAGCACGTTTGCCCCCGTGGACGAGAAGCCCCGCGTCTTCGAGGCCGAGCTCTCCCAGGAGAGCACCATCGGCTCTCCCCCGAGCCCGGCTGACACCGAGTCCCTGCTCAGTGACACGGAGCCCTGTGCCCAGGAGCCCGAGGCGCGCACCCGTGCGCCCGCCGTCCAGGAGCAGGAGGGGCCGCCCCGCGCGGCCACCCCGGAGTGCCTGGTGACCAGCGAGCTCGGCTTCCGCTGCGTGGCCTGCTGCCGCGTGTTCCCGTCGCGGGAGGCCGTGGTGGCGCACGCCGAGCGCGGCGTCAAGGAGGGCTTTAGTTGCCGCGTCTTCTATGAGGAGATGCTGGAGCGCCGGCGGTCCCCGTCCGCGCCGCGCCGGCCCCGACGCCGCCACCTGCTGGACCAGAAGCTCCTGGTGGCGGCCAAGAGCAGGGAGGTGCGAGCCAAGGAGGAAGCCTGCCGGCGCCTGCAGGAAAGACTGCAAGCACGGAACCAGGAGCTGCGGCGGCTGCGGCGCGAGCTGGCGCGGCTGCAGAGGCAGGAGCGCAGGGCGCGGCTCCAAGGACCGCGGGGCACGCGCTGGAAGGGCCGCGCTCAGGCCCTGTGACTGCAGAGCCTGGCTGAGGGGGGGCGGGGGGGTATGGGACCTGTCTGGAAAGCTCTCGGGTCAGACCGCTTATCCACCCTGGCAGACCCTTCACCCCAGGCTCCGTGGTCCTCATCGCCAACCAAGGGCTTAGGGAGCACCACCCGGAAGGGGTGGATGAAGCCGCCTCTGGACAGCTGACTCTGTACCCTAGGTCAGCTCAGATCAGAGGCTCACCCAGCCAGGAGAAGAGAGCCTCATCTAGATGCTGAGGAATTCGGGACCCTGAAGTTGGCCACAGTGTGGGTCGGGAAAGAGAATGGGACTTCAGTGGGCTCTGGGTGGCTGGGAGAGGGCCTCAGCCAAGGGCAGCCCTAAAGGGCAGTGTGGCTGTGAAGGGGTGTAGCTGAGTTCTTTGCAGGAGGAGGAACCAGAAGGACTCCAGGATGTGGGGAAACAGCCTGTAGGAGAGCAATGGGAGAAAACCCTTCAACCCAGGACCCGGTGGCTCCGCTCCCAGCCACGTCCAGGGAGGGAAAGGAGGGCATGCAAGAGGAGAGGTGGGCTCTCAAGTAAGGGGAGCTCACCATCCAAGTCCTCTGGCCTCTCTGGGAGAAGTGGGGTTGGAGGGATGTGTTGTTCCCTCTCGGGGCGGGGGGGGGGGGGG